TGTTGCCATAACATGTAAATGTGTTAATCAGCTGAGAATCAATGACAGCTGCACCAAAGTATCCAAAGAATACATCAGTGAGAAAAATGTTTCTTGAGCTATAGGAAATGAGGCTCTTAAACCAAAGTAATCATTTTAAAGTATCTGTTTATTTTTTTGAGCATATATATGACTTGACTTGTAAAGAGTCTGGGCTGCCCAGAAAGTTAATGATAGACAATTTGTCAGGGAGAATTAATGATGTCAGTGAATTAAATAATTCCAAAATTATCTGTGTATTTTTTTTAAAGAGATACAGATAACAAATCCAAAAGATGACAAAGAAGTTCACACAGGAAATAGAAAGATCTTGTTAAGGCCAACATGAAATGGTACATTTCCTCATTTCAAACATCTAATATGATCTGGTATTCTGTTCAGTTCGATTCATTTTTATTTATGTAGCATCACAAGAACAGGTGCATCAAGGTGTGTAAGGTAGAGACCCTACAATAATACAGAGAAACCCCAACAATCAGATGACCCCTTATGAGCAAGCACTTGGTGAAAGTGGAAAGAAAAACATGTTTTTAACAGGAAGAAACCTCCAGAAGATCCAGGCTCTGGGAGGGCTGCCCATTGCTGCAATCAATTAGGGGTGAGTGGAGGGAGAGCTGGTATCTTCTATCGTAAATAAAATAATTTTTTTATTGTTTATTTTTTTAACAACTGTGAGCCAATTTGGGATTAGGATTACTGTTTAGAATGTCCAACATAAAAATGTCCTCAGCGAAGATCGACTAACGAAAAAACCTCAGTGGTGAGAAATACCCGCCCTCTTACAACACTACATTTTGTACCATGTTGGTTGAATATTTTCATATTTTTTGAGGTTTTTAGCTCTCATGCATGACGTTTTACTTTCACATATTGTCTCTGTAGATTTTTCCTTTTGCCAGTATTTAAAATTTTCTCTGATAAAACACAGTCACCTGCATCTGGGGGAGTCTGCCTGTAGCTTTAATGAACAACCTTGTACATTAATACCATCTTTTCACCAACAGATGGAGCCAAAGACTCAAAGATAGGCTTTGACGGTAAAATGCAGATCTGCATTATATAACATTTACATTTGTAGAAATTGGAATGGGACACAAGAAGCGAGCAGCTGAAAGTAGCTAGAAGACCAGTGATTTCCAGATTCTACAGATTTGTTTTTCTCATCTTCATCCAAAGCTCCAATTTCTTTTCTGTAAAATTCAAAAACAAACCCAAAAAGACAGGTGAACCACAGCCTTAAATAATGTGTATTATCAGAAAATCCTTTTAAAAAGTTTGGAAAAGTAGCAAATTTCGTGACTCACAGAGCACAGGAGAACTTCGATTTAAAGCCCACAAGGCAATGCCAACAATGGCTGCGACGGCTCCAACACCAAACACAATACCAACAACTTTGCCAGCACCCATGCCGTCGTCACCTGTATGTAGAAGAAGGATAAACATAAAAGCTGACAATCTTTAAGCTGCTTTTAAGCTCAAATAATATTTCCATGACAGCTATACACTTTCAAGCTATGAAAAATAATCATATTTACCTGATCCTGTGGACTCATATAGCACCTTCTTCTGATCTTCTGTTTCATTTACTATTATATAACAGAGAAATGTAGTGAAAGATGTGGTAAATCCAAACATCAAACATAAGATTTTACTTCAACACATCAAACATCTAAAAGAATCTCATGTATTCTGCTGCAAAAAAAGGCAATATGACAGGAAGTACAATTGTTAACCGTCTTTGTGCCACTGGTTATAATAAATAACTAATAATAAGAGTTTGAACTGCCATCATGATACAGGCCTTTGGCAAAATTCATGATCTGCATCAGCTCCTCTATATTTCACGTACTGAACAGAAGAGTGGTTGTATGTTCTGGGGTGGTTGTTGAAGGCAGAACAGTTGTTGGCAGAGGAGTGGTGATTGGTCCTGAAAATATAATAAACAAATATGTAAAAATAAACAGTTACAGAAATCAATGAAGGAAATGCACATTTTTGGAGTTTACTCACTAATTTGAATGCTCACAATCACACAGCGTAACTCAGAGTGATACTTGGCTGTACTGAGAAAAGAAATCCAAAACATAGTAATTAAAAAAATGAAACAGTACAACATGTCCATAAAAATGGTGGTGCGAAAATGTTTAAACCATCTGACTTTAACTCTGCCTGGACTACGAAGCAGATGGGATGGTTTTCTTCATATTCACTGTCAGATGGTGTCCAGGTCAGGATGAATCCTTAATGTGATACAACATGTTTCACAACGCTGTGTGGTCCACTGAACAAAAGCTTCGAAACCCTTACAAAAATACACAAGATAGAGATTTGGCATATACGGGTAAATCAGAGTGCAAACAGACTGTTTCATTACCGTTCTTTTTATTGTATCCTTTTACAAAAAGAAATACATCTTAAACAATATGTTTAAAGAGGAAACGAGCAAGCAAAGACAGCTC